TATATCTGCTTCTCAGCCCATCTCTGCTTCTCAAACCATCTCTGCTTCTCAGCCCATCTTCGTTTCTCAGCTTATCTCTGTAACTCAATCCATCTCTGCTTCTCAGCCCATCTTTGTTTCTCAGTTCATCTCTGCTTCTCAGCCCATCTTTACTTCTCAGCCCATCTCTGATTCTCAGCCCATCTTTGCTTCTCAGCCCATCTCTGCTTCTCAGCCCATCTTTGCTTCTCAGACCATCTCTGCTTCACAGCCCCTCTCTGCTTCTCTGACTATTCCTGCTTCTCAGCCCATCTCTGCTTCTCAGCCCATCTTTGCTTCTCAGCCCAACTTTACTTCTCAGCCCATCTCTGCTTCTCAGCCCATCTTTGCTTCTCAACTCATATTTGCTTCTCAGCCCATCTCTGCTTCACAGCCCATCTTTGCTTCTCAGACCATCTTTGGTTCACAGCCCATCTCTGCTTCACAGCCCATCTTTGATTTTCAACCCATCTTTGCTTCTCAGCCCATCTCTGCTTTACAGCCCATCTTTGCTTCTCAGCCCATCTCTGCTTGTCAGCCCATCTCTGCTTCTGAGCCCATCTTTTCTTCTCAGCCCATCTTTGCTTCTCAACCCATTTTTTCTTCTCATCCCATCTCTGCTACACAGCCCATCTCTGCTTCTCAGCCCATCTTCGCTTCTGAACCCATCTTTGCTTCTCAGCCCATCTCTGCTTCTCAGCCCATCTCTGCTTCTCAGCCCATCTCTGCTTCATAGTCCATCTCTTCTTCACAACCCATCTTTGCTTCTCAGCCCGTCTTTGCTTCTCAATCCATCTCTGCTTCTCAGCCCATCTTTGCGTCTCAGCCCATCTTTGCTTCTCAGACCATCTCTGCTTCTCACCCCATCTTTGCTTCTCAGCCCATCTTTGCTTCTCAGACCATCTCTGCTTCTCAGCCCATCTTTTCTTCTCAAACCATCTTTGCTTCTCAGCCCATCCCTGCTTCTCAGCCCATCTCTGCTTCTCAGCCTATCTTTGCTTCTCAGCCCATCTCTGCTTCTCAGCCCATTTTTGCTTCTCGGCCCATCTCTGCTTCATAGCCCATCTCTGCTTCACAACCCATCTTTGCTTCTCAGCTCATTTTTGCTTCTCAATCCATCTCTGCTTCTCAGCCCATCTTTGCTTCTCAGCCCATCTCTGCTTCTCAGCCCATCTCTGCTTCTCAGACTATCTCTGTTTCTCATCCCATCTCTGTTTCTCAAAAAATTTCTGCTTCTCAGCCCATCTTTGTTTCTCAGCTCATCTCTGCTTCTCAGCCCATCTTTGCTTCTCAGCCCATCTCTGCTTCTCAGACATTCTTTGTTTCTCAACCCATCTCTGCTTCACAGCCCATCTCTGCTTCACAACCCATCTTTGCTTCTCTGACCATCCCTGCTTCACAGCCCATCTCTCCTTCTCAGCCCATCTCTGCTTCTCAGCCCATCTCTGCTTCTCAGCACATCTCTGCTTTTCAGACCATCTCTGCTTCTCAGCTCATTTTTGTTTCTCAGCTCATCTCTGATTCTCAGCCCATCTTTGCTTCTCAGCCCATCTCTACTTCACAACCCATCTTTGCTTCTCAGCCCATCTTTGTTTCTCAGCCCATCTCTGCTTCTCAACCCATCTTTGCTTCTCAACCCATATTTGCTTCTCAGCCCATCTCTGCTTCACAGCTCATATTTGCTTCTCGGTCCATCTTTGCTTCTCAACCCATCTTTGCTTCACAGCCCATCTCTGCTTCACAGCCCATCTTTCCTTTGCAATTCATCTTTGCTTCTCAGCCCATCTCTGCTTCTCAGCCCATCTCTGCTTCTCAGACTATCTCTGTTTCTCATCCCATCTCTGTTTCTCAAAAAATTTCTGCTTCTCAGCCCATCTTTGTTTCTCAGCTCATCTCTGCTTCTCAGCCCATTTTTGCTTCTCAGCCCATCTCTGCTTCTCAGACATTCTTTGTTTCTCAACCCATCTCTGCTTCACAGCCCATCTCTGCTTCACAACCCATCTTTGCTTCTCTGACCATCCCTGCTTCACAGCCCATCTCTCCTCAGCCCATCTCTGCTTCTCAGCCCATCTCTGCTTCTCAGCACATCTCTGCTTTTCAGACCATCTCTGCTTCTCAGCTCATTTTTGTTTCTCAGCTCATCTCTGATTCTCAGCCCATCTTTGCTTCTCAGCCCATCTCTACTTCACAACCCATCTTTGCTTCTCAGCCCATCTTTGCTTCTCAATCCATCTCTGCTTCTCAGACCATCTTTGCTTCTCAGCCCATCTCTGCTTCTCAGCCCATCTCTGCTTCTCAGACCATCTCTGTTTCTCATCCCATCTCTGTTTCTCAAACCATTTCTGCTTCTCAGCCCATCTTTGTTTCCCAGCTCATCTCTGCTTCTCAGCCCATCTTTGCTTCTTTCTCAGCCCATCTCTGCTTCTCAGACATTCTTTGTTTCTCAGCCCATCTCTGCTTCACAGCCCATCTCTGCTTCACATCCCATCTTTGCTTCTCTGACCATCCCTGCTTCACAGCCCATCTCTGCTTCTCAGCCCATCTCTGCTTCTCAGTCCATCTCTGCTTCTCAGCACATCTCTGCTTTTCAGACCATCTCTGCTTCTCAGCTCATTTTTGTTTCTCAGCTCATCTCTGATTCTCAGCCCATCTTTGCTTCTCAGCCCATCTCTACTTCACAACCCATCTTTGCTTCTCAGCCCATCTTTGTTTCTCAGCCCATCTCTGCTTCTCAACCCATCTTTGCTTCTCAACCCATATTTGCTTCTCAGCCCATCTCTGCTTCACAGCTCATATTTGCTTCTCGGTCCATCTTTGCTTCTCAACCCATCTTTGCTTCACAGCCCATCTCTGCTTCACAGCTCATCTTTGCTTTTCAACCCATCTTTGATTCTCAGCCCATCTCTGTTTCACAGCCCATCTTTGCTTCTCAGTCCATCTCTGCTTCACAGCCCATCTCTGCTTCTCAACCAATTTCTGCTTCTCTGACCATCTTTGCTTCTCAGCCCATCTTTTCTTCTCATCCCATCTCTGCTACACAGCCCATCTCTGCTTCTCAGCCCATCTTCGCTTCTGAACCCATCTTTACTTCTCAGCCCATCTCTGCCTCTCAGCCCATCTCTGTTTCATTGTCCATCTCTGCTTCACAACCCATTTTTGTTTTCAGCTCATCTCTGCTTCTCAGCCCATCTTTGCTTCTCAGCCCATCTCTGCTTCTCAGCACATCTTTGCTTCTCGGCCCATCTCTGCTTCATAGCCCATCTCTGCTTCTCAGTCCATCTCTGCTTCTCAGACCATCTCTGCTTCTCAGCCCATCTTTGTTTCTCAGCTCATCTCTGCTTCTCAGCCCATCTTTGCTTCTCAGCCCATCTCTGCTTCTCAGACAATCTCTGCTTCTCAGTCCATCTCTGCTTCTCAGCCCATCTCTGCTTCTAAGCTCATCTCTGCTTCTCAGTACATCTCTGCTTCTCAGACCATCTCTGCTTCTCAGCCCATCTTTCTTTCTCAGCTTATCTCTGCTTCTCAGCCCATCTTTGCTTCTAAGCCCATCTTTGCTTCTCAGCCTATCTTTGCTTCAAAGCCCATCTCTGCTTCTCAACCCATTTTTGCTTCTCTGCCCATCTCTGCTTCATAGCCCATCTTTGCTTCACAACCCATTTTTGCATCTCAGCCCATCTCTGCTTCTCAGTCCATCTCTGCTTCTCAGACCATCTCTGCTTCTCAGCCCATCTTTGTTTCTCAGCTCATCTCTGCTTCTCAGCCCATTTTTGCCTCTCAGCCCATCTCTGCTTCTCAGCCCATCTCTGCTTCTCAGCCCATCTTTTCTTCTCAGCCCATCTTTGCTTCTCAGCCCATCTTTTCTTCTCATTCCATCACTGCTACACAGCCCATCTCTGCTTCTCAGCCCATCTTCGCTTCTGAACCCATCTTTGCTTCTCAGCCCATCTCTGCTTCTCAGACCATCTCTGCTTCATAGCCCATCTCTGCTTCACAACCCATTTTTGTTTTCAGTTCATCTCTGTTTCTCAGCCCATCTTTGCTTCTCAGCCCATCTCTGCTTCTCAGCACATCTTTGCTTCTCGGCCCATCTCTGCTTCATAGCCCATCTCTGCTTCACAACCCATCTTTGCTTCTCAGCCCATCTCCGAATCTCAGTCCATCTCTGCTTCTCAGCCCATCTTTGCTTCTCAGCCCATCTCTGCTTCTCAGACAATCTCTGCTTCTCAGCCCATTTCTGCTTCTCAGCCCATCTCTGCTTCTAAGCCCATCTCTGCTTCTCAGTCCATCTCTGCTTCTCAGACCATCTCTGCTTCTCAGCCCATCTTTCTTTCTCATCTCATCTCTGCTTCTCAGCCCATCTTTGCTTCTAAGCCCTCTCTGCTTCTCAGCCTATCTTTGCTTCTCAGCCCATCTTTGCTTCTAAGCACATCTCTGCTTCTCAGCCCATCTTTGTTTCTCAGCTCATCTCTGCTTCTCAGCCCATCTTTGCTTCTCAGCCCATCTCTGCTTCTCAGCCCATCTTTGCTTCTAAGCCCATCTCTGCTTCTCAGCCTATCTTTGCTTCTAAGCCCATCTCTGCTTCTCAACCCATTTTCGCTTCTCTGCCTATCTCTGCTTCATAGCCCATCTTTGCTTCACAACCCATCCTTGCTTCTCAGCCCATCTTTGCTTCTCAGTCCATCTCTGCTTCTCAGCCCATCTTTGCTTCTCAGCCCATCTCTGCTTCTCAGCCCATCTCAGCTTCTCAGACCATCTCTGTTTCTCAGCCCATTTTTGTTTCTCAGCCCATCTTTGCTTCACAACCCATCTTTGCTTCTCAGCCCATCTCTGCTTCTCAGTCCATCTCTGCTTCTCAGCCCATCTTTGCGTCTCAGCCCAACTCAGCTTCTCAGCCCATCTCTGCTTCTCAGACCATCTCTGCTTTTTACCCCATCTTTGTTTCTCAGCCCATCTCTGTTTCTCAAACCATCTCTTCTTCTCAGCCCATCTTTGTTTCTCAGCTCATCTCTGCTTCTCACCTCATCTCTGCTACACAGCCCATCTTTGCTTCTCAGCCGATCTCTGTTTCTCAAACCATCTCTGCTTTTCAGCCCATCTTTGTTTCTCAGCCCATCTTTGCTTCTCAGCTCATCTCTGCTACACAGCCCATTTCTGCTTCTCAGCCCATCTCTGCTTCTCAGCTCATCTTTGCTTCTAAGCCCATCTCTGCTTCTCAGCCTATCTTTGCTTCTCGGCCCATCTCTGCTTCTCAACCCATTTTCGCTTCTCTGCCTATCTCTGCTTCATAGCCCATCTTTGCTTCACAACCCATCTTTGCTTCTCAGCCCATCTTTGCTTCTCAGTCCATCTCTGCTTCTCAGCCCATCTTTGCTTCTCAGCCCTTCTCTGCTTCTCAGCCCATCTCAGCTTCTCAGACCATCTCTGTTTCTCAGCCCATTTTTGTTTCTCAGCCCATCTTTGCTTCACAACCCATCTTTGCTTCTCAGCCCATCTCTGCTTCTCAGACCATCTCTGCTTTTTACCCCATCTCTGTTTCTCAAACCCTCTCTTCTTCTCAGCCCATCTGTGTTTCTCAGCTCATCTCTGCTTCTCAGCTCATCTCTGCTACACAGCCCATCTCTGCTTCTCAGCCCATCTCTGTTTCTCAAACCATCTCTGCATCTCAGCCCATCTTTGTTTCTCAGCCCATCTTTGCTTCTCAGCTCATCTCTGCTACACAGCCCATCTCTGCTTCTCAGCCCATCTCTGCTTATCAGCCCATCTTTGCTTCTCAGACCATCTCTGCGTCACAGCCCCTCTCTGCTTCTCTGACCATTCCTGCTTCACAGCCCATTTCTGCTTTTCAACCCATCTCTGCTTCTCAGCCTATCTTTGCTTCTCAGCCCATCTCTGATTCTCAGCCCATCTTTATTTCTCAGCCCATCTCTGCTTCTCAGCCCATCTTTGCTTCTCAGCCCATCTTTTCTTCTCAGCCCATCTCTGCTTCTAAGACAATCTTTGTTTCTCAGCCCATCTCTGCTTCTCAACCCATCTTTGCTTCTCAGCCCATCTTTGCTTTTCAACCCATCTTTGCTTCACAGCCCATCTCTGCTTCACAGCCCATCTTTGCTTTTCAACCCATCTTTGCTTCTCAGCTCATCTCTGTTTCACAGCCCATCTTTGCTTCTGAACCCATCTTTGCTTCTCAGCCCATCTCTGCTTCTCAGCCCATCTCTGCTGCATAGCCCATCTCTGCTTCACAAACCATTTTTGTTTCTCAGCTCATCTCTGCTTCTCAGCCCATCTTTGCTTCTCAGCCCATCTCTGCTTCTCAGCACATCTTTGCTTCTCGGCCCATCTCTGCTTCATAGCCCATCTCTGCTTCACAACCCATCTTTGCTTCTCAGCCCATCTTTACTTCTCAGTCAATCTCTGCTTCTCAGACCATCTTTGCTTCTCAGCCCATCTCTGCTTCTCAGTCCATCTCTGCTTCTCAGACCATCTCTGCTTCTCAGCTCATCTTTGTTTCTCAGCTCATCTCTGCTTCTCAGCCCATCTCTGCTTCTCAGCCCATCTCTGCTTCTCAGCCCATCTCTGCTTCTCAGCCTATCTTTGCTTCTAAGCCCATCTCTGCTTCTCAGCCCATTTTTGCTTCTCTGCCCATCTCTGCTTCATAGCCCATCTTTGCTTCACAACTCATTTTTGCTTCTCAACCCATCTTTGCTTCTCAGTCCATCTCTGCTTCTCAGCCCATCTTTGCTTCTCAGCCCATCTCTGCTTCTCAGCCCATCTCTACTTCTCAGACCATCTCTCCTACTCAGCCCATTTTTGTTTCTCAGCCCATCTTTGCTTCACAACCCATCTTTGCTTCTCAGCCCATCTCTGCTTCTCAGACCATCTCTGCTTCTCAGCCCATTTTTGTTTCTCAGTCCATCTTTGCTTCTCAGCCCATCTTTGCTTCTTAGTCCATCTCTGCTTCAAAGCCCATCTTTGCTTCTCAGCCCAACTCAGCTTCTCAGCCCATCTCTGCTTCTCAGACCATCTCTGCTTCTTACCCCATCTTTGTTTCTCAGCTCATCTCTGCTTCTCAGCTCATCTCTGCTACACAGCCCATCTCTGCTTCTCAGCCCATCTCTGTTTCTCAAACCATCTCTGCTTCTTACCCCATCTTTGTTTCTCAGCTCATCTCTGCTTCTCAGCACATCTCTGCTACACAGCCCATCTCTGCTTCTCAGCCCATCTCTGTTTCTCAAACCATCTCTGTTTCTCAGCCCATCTTTGTTTCTCAGCCCATCTTTGCTTCTCAGCTCATATCTGCTACACAACCCATCTCTGCTTCTCTGCCCATCTCTGCTTCTCAGCCCATCTTTGCTTCTCAGACCATCTCTGCTTCACAGCCCCTCTCTGCTTCTCTGACTATTCCTGCTTCACAGCCCATTTCTGCTTTTCAACCCATCTCTGCTCCTCAGCCTATCTTTACTTCTCATCCCATCTTTGATTCTCAGCGCATCTTTACTTCTCAGCCCATCTCTGCTTCTCAGCCCATCTTTGCTTCTCAGCCCATCTTTTCTTCTCTGCCCATCTCTGCTTCTAAAACAATCTTTGTTTCTCAGCCCATCTCTGCTTCTCAACCCATCTTTGCTTCTCAACCCATATTTGCTTCTCAGACCATCTCTGCTTCACAGCCCATCTTTGCTTCTCAGCCCGTATTTGCTTCTCACCCCATCTCTGCTACACAGCCCGTCTCTGCTTCTCAGCCCACTTTCACTTCTGAACCCATCTTTGCTTCTCAGCCCATCTCTGCTTCTCAGCCCATCTCTGCTTCATAGCCCATCTCAGCTTCACAACCCATCTTCACTTCTCAGCCATTCTTTGCTTCTCAATCCATCTCTGCTTCTCAGCCCATCTTTGCTTCCCAAACCATCTTTGCTTCTCAGCCAATCTCTACTTCTCAGCCCATCTCTGCTTCTCAGCCTATCTTTGCTTCTCAGCCCATCTCTACTTCTCAGCCCATTTTTGCTTCTCGGCCCATCTCTGCTTCATAGCCCATATCTGCTTCACAACCCATCTTTGCTTCTCAGCCCATCTTTGCTTCTCAGTCCATCTCTGCTTCTCAGCCCATCTTTGCTTCTCAGCCCATCTCTGCTTCTCAGCCCTTCTCTGCTTCTCAGACCATCTCTGTTTCTCATCCCATCTCTGTTTCTCAAACCATCTCTGCTTCTCAGCCCATCTTTGTTTCTCAGCTCATCTCTGCTTCTCAGCCCATCTTTGCTTCTCAGCCCATCTCTGCTTCTCAGACATTCTTTGTTTCTCAGCCCATCTCTGCTTCACAGCCCATCTCTGCTTCGCAACCCATCTTTGCTTCTCTGACCATCCCTGCTTCACAGCCCATCTTTGCTTCTCAGCCCATATCTGCTTATCAGCCCATCTTTGCTTCTCAGCCCATCTCTGCTTCTCAGCCCATCTCTACTTCTCAGCCTATCTTTGCTTCTCAGCCCATCTCTGCTTCTCAGCCCATCTTTGCTTCTCAGCCCATATCTGCTTATCAGCCCATCTTTGCTTCTCAGCCCATCTCTGCTTCTCAGCCCATCTAAGCTTCTCAGCCTATCTTTGCTTCTCAGCCCATCTCTGCTTCTCAGCCCATCTTTGCTTCACAACCCATCTCTGCTTCTCAGCCCATTTTTTGCTTTTCAGCCCATCTCTGCTTCATAGCTCATTTCTGCTTCACAACCCATCTTTGCTTCTCAGCCCATCTCTGCTTCACAGCCCATCTTTGCTTCTCAGCCCATCTCTGCTTCTGAGCCCATCTCTGCTTCTGAGCCCATCTCTGCTTCTCAGCCTATCTTTGCTTCTCAGCCCATCTCTACTTCTCAGCCCATTTTTGCTTCTCAGCTCATCTCTGCTTCATGAACCATCTCTGCTTCACAACCCATCTTTGTTTCTCAGACAATCTCTGCTTCACAGCCCATCTCTGCTTCTCAACCCATCTTTGTTTCTCTGACCATCCCTGCTTCACAGGCCATTTCTGCTTTTCAGCCCATCTCTGCTTCTCAGCCCATCTCTGCTTCTCAGACCATCATTTTTTCTCAGTCCAATTTTGCTTCTCTGCACATCTCTGCTTCACAGCCTATATCTGCTTCTCAGCCCATCTCTGCTTCTCAGACCATCTCTGCTTCTCAGCCCATCTCTGCTTCTCAGCCCATCTCTGCTTCTCAGACCATCATTTTTTCTCAGTCCAATTTTGCTTCTCTGCACATCTGTGCTTCACAGCCTATATCTGCTTCTCAGCCCATCTCTGCTTCTCAAACCATCTCTGCTTCTCAGCCCATCTCCGTTTCTCAGCTTATCTCTGTAACTCAATCCATCTCTGCTTCTCAGCCCATCTTTGTTTCTCAGTTCATCTCTGCTTCTCAGCCCATCTTTACTTCTCAGCCCATCTCTGATTCTCAGCCCATCTTTGCTTCTCAGCCCATCTCTGCTTTTCAGACAATCTCTTCACTGCATCATAATTGGTGCATTCCTTGAGGTCAAGCATGTTGTAAGCCTCGCGAGCTTCACCTCTGAGCCTACCCTGGACCAGCTCCGCCCACTCTGCTCTTGGCCACTTCTTCAAGGTAGCCACCCTCTCGAAATGGTCAAAGAAGCCCTCAGCTTCATTAGGCACAAAGACCGGTAAATCTCGCTCTCGCACCCGGCGGTCTTCCTGCTGTGGGGGTGCAGGTGGGGCTAGCCCTAGTTCAGCCCGCTTCAGCTCAACCTCTCTGTCAGCTTCAATCTCTTGCTGCTTCAGCTTGTCTTCCAGCTCGCGCTCCTCCCGTCTCTGCTGTGCTTCGTGCTCACGCCCTTCCCGTCTCAGCTGCGCTTCTGCTTCTCATTCTTCACGCTTCGTCTGTGATACTCGTTCTTCACACTTCAGCTGTGCTTCTTCTCTCTTCAGCTGTGCTTCTCGTTCTTCACGCTTTAGTTGTACTTCTTGCTCACGCTTCAGCTGTGCTTCTTCACGCCTCAGCTGTGCTTCTCGTTCTTCACGCTTCAGCTGTGCTTCCAGCTACAGCTTCATCATCTCCATCCTGGCAAGGTCGCCAATGTCGGGGTTCTTCTCGGACTTAAATCCTGGCAAGGTCGCCAAGGTCGGAGTGTCTCCCTCTCTGGCCAGTCACCACCAAGTATTATTAGTGATGAACGTGACTTACCGTAGCCCCACGGGTCTTCACTCAATCCTCACGGTGCCACTGTTTACCCGAAGAGTCTCCCAGTCTATCTCCAGCCGGCCTAATAGCCAAAGACGAGTGGGAACACGATCACTTCT